TAAAAAAGACTTTTAAAATATAAAATTTAAATAAATTAAAAACAAATATTATGAGTTTTTCAAAATATAAAAAAACAACTAAAACTTTATTCTTAAAAAATCTTTTAATTTCCCGCCCTGGGTCTTTTATTTGTGTCACAATGTATCTTAGCAATCGCATCTTTTTCCGGGAACTTTAAATTAAGGTTTTTACCATGAATAATTTGGCGAAGGTGTTCCATTCATATACAGATATTTTAAAAAGCTAATTCCAACCGGAAATTTTAATTTTAACCCAATTGATGCCAAAGTTGTATAGGGCAAAAACTTTTTAGCACACGTCCCGTGCAAAACTTTTTCTTATCCCAATTTTTGACATTTAAAATTATGCCAAATGGAAAAGGTTTTTTTTTCTCCAAAGAAGAAAAAGAAAAATTTATACAAAGGGTATTTCGAAAAAACTTTAAAAATTTCCCTTTTACTTAAAACAAAAAAGGGTAAAAATATATTGTATAATTTTTAAAGAGATATTTGACTAAGGAATAAAAAAATAGGGGGACATGTCGGCACTTAATCACAAGTGGGAGATTTTGTACGAGTTGAATTTTGTCCAAGTAATTGATAACGGTTTCCCTTTAAAAGTGTTTGAAACATTGCTTATATTTTTCGATGTTCAAATCTAAAAATGAATATATATAGTCAATTCAATCATGGCTTTCATTGCTTGAAATATTTACTAAGAAGCTTTCCAAGATCAAAGAAACATTTTTGTCTTTACTCAGAACCGTTTTCGGGGGTGTTGAAAGTTATACCATGTTAAAGATTTGTACCCGTGTCCCCTCTGGGATGTAGCGGCACTTTCTATGTAAGTTATATCATCAAATACGACGTCTTTATCTCAATCTAAAATCATCTCAAATACACATTAATGTCTTGCTAGAGGGACAAATATATGTAGGGCGGTTAGTTTAAAAAGAACAGTAAAATTCAACAGAAGTTTCGATAATACCAGGGTCTTTCTGACCCCCCGAAAAATACATTTAAAAAATAATTGTAAATTCCAAAAAAATTACGAAAAAATATTTAACATTAAATTTCTACATTTATTTAAATGTTTTCAAAAAGAAAAAATTGAATTTTGCCCCTTTAAATTCATTTGGGGCATTAAATTTTTTCTCACATTGATGATCGTTAATGCACACTTTAAAATTGACGTTTAAATATAAATTAAGTACATGTAAAACAATATATGAGTATTCAAAATATAACAACAACTTAAACAAATCTCTTCTGTTTCCCGCCCCGCGTCTTTGATTTGTGTCACACTGTATATCTTAGCAATCGCATCTTCTCGGCCCTTTCCTTCAAACTTCGAATAAGGTCTACCATGAATAATAGTCGAGGTGTTCCTATTGATATATCAGATATTGAAACGCGTAATTCCATTAACCGGAAGTTGTAATTAACTTATTGATGCCATGTTGTATACTGCACAGCTCACGCACACGTTCGTGCTATTCTTCCCTCTGATTAAGTTTGTACATTTGAATTAAGCATATACAAGTTTTTATTTTCTCATGAAGACAGAATTATACAATAAGATATTTCGAAAAAACTAAAATTCCATTTTACTTAAATCAAAACAGCTAAATATATATTGATATAATTTATAAAGAGATATTTGACTAAGGAATAAAATAGGGACATCGTGCACTTAATCACAAGTGGGAGATTTTGTACGAGTTGAATTTTGTCCAAGTAATTGATAACGGTTTCCCTTTAAAAGTGTTTGAAACATTGCTTATATTTTTCGATGTTCAAATCTAAAAATGAATATATATAGTCAATTCAATCATGGCTTTCATTGCTTGAAATATATACTAAGAAGCTTTCCAAGATCAAAGATACATTCTTGTATCTACTCAGATCTGCTTTCGGTGGGTGTTGAAAGTTATACTTTGTGTAAGATTTGTACCCGTGTCCCCTCTGGGATGTAGCGGCACTTTCTATGTAAGTTATATCATCAAACACGACGTCTTTATCTCAATCTAAAATCATCTTAAATACACATTAATGTCTTGCTAGAGGGACAAATATTTGTAGGGCGGTAAGTTTAAACGAACCAAATAATTTAACAGAAGTTTTCCTTTCCTCTCGTTAATTAATACAAACATTCTATAAATTAGTGTCTTACTTGATATTTTGAAATATCGAGAGAGAATAACTTTAAAGAATCATCGAAATACCTCAATGCACAAGGTCCATCCGGACCTGATACAACTTGATTGCACTCCAGGATTGTCCTTATAAAATAATCATTTTTTCTTAAAAGATCGACTTTCAAGGACAACATACATACCTAGCAGAATTCATTTTATTTTATAATAAACATATCTTATAGAAAAATGACCAGTGTATCGTCTCTTTAGATCTGTTTTCGGTGGGTGTTGAAAGTTATACCACGTTAAAGATTTGTACCCGTGTCCCCTCTGGGATGTAGCGGCACTTTCTATGTAAGTTATATCATCAAACACGACGTCTTTCTCTCAATCTAAAATCATCTCAAATACACATTAATGTCTTGCTGGAGATGGAAATATTTGTAGGGTGGTAAGTTTAAACGAAGCAAATAATTTAACAGAAGCTTTTCTTTCCTCTCGTTAATTTATACGAACGTTGAGAGAGAGCATAACTTTAAACACCATCGAAACACATCAATGCACAGGTCCATCTATGATGTATTATCATCATCCGGTCCTGAAACTTAATTGCACACCCGGATTGCCTTATTAATAATAATTATTACCTAAAATGTTCATTTTTAATGTTTAAGTACAACATGCATAACTAAATTTTTATAAACATATACCCAACTTAAAAAAGAAGTGTATCGTTTCTAAAGATCTGTTGTCGGTGGGCGTTGAAAGTTATACTTTGTTAAAGATTTGTACCCGTGTCCCCTCTGGGATGTAGCGGCACTTTCTATGTAAGTTAGAGCCCGTCTACACCTATCCAAGTCTTGAATGCAAGTATCATATTCTCTTGTATTGGATAGTGTAGACACCCTACTTGAATGAGTTTTAAAGAGAAATTATGTGACATCCAAGAAGATAATTCCTTGCAAGAAAGTTAGAACACGTTCTATTTTTCTACAAGTTTTTGGCTGTCAAGACACTGATAACACCGGTTTGACACAAAACATGTGCCCCGAAGGTGTGATAGTGTTGTTTTTATTATTATTTTCTGACTTTTTATAACTGATTCAGTGTTCATGATCTGTAAATTTTAGTAAATGTATACAATATCTTGGTCAGATGAACAGATCAATACACTGATGCACAGAAGAGCAAAAAAAATATGTCAAAATGAATTTTAAATGATCTTGTTCATTTAGTGAATCACTTTCATCAAATAAAGAATTTGCATCAATTTATCAGCTCCAAAAAATATTTTTCTCACATTTTCCATTATTTTAAAAGAATGTACCCATTTCAATTTCATTAACTCCATTGTTTTTAGCTAATTGCATCATTTTCCCGCTTTTTTATTCACATATTTTACAGAAACATGATAGTATTGCAAAGACAAAGGTATAAATCTTGGGCAATCTTAATTAGACATTTCAGTAAAAATTGTGCCTGATAAAATATTGAAAGGGCCATTTATTTAGCTTATCTAAATGTGACATTTAAGAAACTTGGATAGGTGTAGACACGGCCTTATATCATCAAACAAGAGGGTTTTTATCTCAATCTAAAATCATCTCAAATACACATTAATGTCTTGCCACGAGGAACAAGAAAACTGAGATAGGCTTCTTTAAACGAACCGTTAAATTCAAATAAGCGGACTTTATCTATGTTTCGTTGCTGCCGCGCCACCCAAACGTATTTAAACTTTATTTATAGTAACAAGTGTAGAGCCTGATTCTAGATAATAATTTATGTAAACTGTGGCCAAAAAAAAAGAGAAATAATACATAAATGATTTATATCGTAAATATATTAAATTAAAAACAATTTTAGGCCCTATCACAGAGCTGTATTTGAAATTGTATATAAGTCTCTGGCCCTATTCACCAATTATACGAGACTGTTTTGGTATTTTCAACGTTTTTGTTGTTGTTTTTATATGTATAATAATAAGTACATTATAAGTTTAACTGGGACGGAAAAGAAGATATCTAAACTTGTCACGTTTTGCAAGCCATAGGACTTACAATTTCACGTAGAACCACTAATTTTGTAAATTCAGAATATATTTGTATCAGAGAAAACTTGTCCGCTCTGTTCTGACAAACGTGATAGTACATCTCAGGGATTGAACAAAAATACACTTGTAATACAAACAACTTCAAAGTAAACGGATATACTTCTGCAATACGTGCTGTGTGTGCCAGATGATAGTCAACAAACAAAGCTCATCTGTCCCAAAGAAGCGAAAAAAGTAAGATAAATAATTAAACAGAACTTATAACGTATTTTTGGATGTGTTGAACCTTTATACTCGTTTCCATTGGCAAGAAGGTGTTCAGCATAACAGATATGAAGTTTTTTTCCAAGAGCATCGAGCTGTATACAGTTTTTTCCTCCCTTAAATTGTTGTAAACAATGTACTACTTAAAAGCAATGATATTTGCTTTTTTAATTGTAACAATTTTTGGTAAAAACACACTTTTTTCTTCCTCTTAGATCTGCCTTCATTTGCATTTCTTATTGCCCAAAAGCCCTAGATATATGGGAAACATAATAAGATAAATATACTTTAATTTTCAGTAAATCATATAAATAAGCAATAAAACAATACTTGTATCATAACAAAAAGTTGTGATGGCCATTCTGAACACCTCGATTTTTCATGAAACGGAGATTGACGGAAAGGGCCGAGGAAGGGCCGAAAAGTTGCGATTGTTACAAGTGTTTTTTGCACGTGACTGGCTCTACTGGGATTAGATGACCAGTTTTTTTCAAATGATTGTCAACCATAACAGAAAACAACCTCTTTTTCTTTTCTTTTTCACAATATTTCATAGACCTTCATTTACATATTGATAGTACAAAATAAATTACATAAGATTAATCATAAACAAAATATGATTACACTATAACAAACACACTTGATATTAAGTGTAGATTTAGGATTACAATAAAACTGTATCTCTTAAATTAAAATCCAATTTGATTAAAATGACCTTTATGAACAAAGTCAAATAGAAAGATGTAGAAAAACATGCCAATTTACACAGACTGTTTATGGCACTGATGAAGTTGTTTCAAGGTCAGTTGTAGTAAGTAAAAGCTATCACATAATTTATGAAAAGTCTATGACAAAAATATATACATTTATATAAATAGTCAGCAGTGTAAACACTGTGTTGACATATTGCAGGGTCTTCCACAAAGATCCTGCAAATAACAATTCTAGTATCAAAAACAATAAACATATAATATAACATAATTTATCATAAATTGATTAACACTATGATTATTCAGAAAAAAAAGTCATCCATCCAATTATTTGTTCAAATATATGAATATCATGTATATGAAATCCATGCAAACAGTACCAGTACACAAGTTTTTCTGTACAAAGGGAGACCATCCATGATTCATATTTTTCTTAAGCTATTAAGAGTATTTCCCCTTACATAGTATAGGCTTTATGAATTAACATATGCACCTGCTTCTGCCACAATCTACACTATGCTGTCAAAGTCTTTGATTATCACAAGTGCTTCAAGCACACAGATAAGTTTTCAATCAAGATTGAACATCTTGAGTTGGAGGACTCCCTGAAACAGGTAGAGTAGTGCCAGCTTGTGAAGCCATTTCCTGTGCTATACCAGGAATGTTTGGAGTCCTTCCTTCAGCGGCAGCTTTCTCTAATTCTTTCACTGTAGCCTCTTGTTTTGCATTTTGAAATTCCATGAATGTCAACATTAGACGCTGATTAAACTTAACATATCTGTCCACACAACCACCAACACAAGAATTCTGCAAAAAAGCCAAGAAATAGTTAAGTGTGTGAGATGGTAGACCTTGCAATATATTCTTCATTATCCTGTCACTTGTAACAATTTCGGCCCGATAACAAGGTGCCGAATATTTTTACTGATCTACGGCACTTGATCACGTGGTATGCATGAATGGGCACCGGACTACTTTTCAAGATTTACAGGCCGTTCCAGTGGTATGAAAAAAACCGTCGTTAAATCTTCTGTGTGTAGAATAACGAATTTTGGAAACGTTGATAAAACTTTGTTTGTTTATTTTATTTCACTCTAATAATTTTTTAAGCGAAATAAAAATTATTAAAAGTGAAATAAATGTAAAACTTAACTCATTTGCGACATTAAAATAGCGTACTTGATTTGATTGTTTTGCACGTGCTGTTTGGCGCTACATTGGGACGTCACGTAAACAATACTTTAAACGTCTGTACAGCGTTAACGACTGAAAAAAAGATATTGGTATTCGAATTCATTTTCTTAGTTAGACCATTTTCTTTCATTCTAGATAGTTTTCACAACAAAATTCGACAAAAAATTGTTTATATTTATCTCATTTTTCAAACACAATGGCGCCCTCAATGTGAAAATACACAGGGAGATAATATGAACGGCGAGTGCATTGTTGTAGAATAATGCACGCTTCGGGCCTTCTTTGTTTATATAGAAACATTTCCGATAGTGTGATTAAAGGTAGTTTGCCTAATAAAATTCTTTTAAAAAAAACGGTGACAGGATAAATAGAATAATAGATTGGTACCGTGAATGGAGAAAGTTTATCTGGCTCTGCTCCGGAATTTATTGGGTTCGCCTTCGGCTCACCCAATAAATTCCTCCGCCTCGCCAGATAAACTTGCTCCATCCACGGCACCAACCTATTATTCTCTATTTATCCTGTCACTTGTATCAATTTCGGCCCGATAACAAGGTGCCGTATATTTTTACTGATCTACGGCACTTGATCACGTGGTTTGCCGGACTTCTTTACAGGCCGTTCCAGTGGTATGAAAAAAACTGTCGTTAAATCTTCTGTGTGTAGAATAACGAATTTTGGAAACGTTGATAAAACTTTGTTTGTTTATTTATTTCACTCTATAATTTTTCAAGCGAAATAAAAATTAAAAAAAGTGAAATAAATGTATAACTTAACTCGTTTGCGACATTAAAATAGCGTACTTGATTTGATTGTTTTGCACGTGCTGTTTGGCGCTACATTGTGACGTCACGTAAACAATACTTTAAACGTCTGTACAGCGTTAACGACTGAATAAAAGATATTGGTGTTCGAATTCATTTTCTTAGTTAGACCATTTCTTTCATTCTAGATAGTTTTCACAACAAAATTCGAGAAAAAAATGTTTTTATTTATCACATTTTTCAAACAAAATGGCGCCTTCAATGTAAAAATACACAGGGAGATAATTAAGAACGGCGAGTGCATTGTTGTAGAATAATGCACGCTTCGGGCCTTCTTTGTGTATATAGAAACATTTTCGATAGTGTGATTAAAGGTAGTTTGCCTAATAAAATTCTTTTAAAAAAAACGGTGACAGGATAAATAGAATAATAGATTGGTACCGTGAATGGAGAAAGTTTATCTGGCTCTGCTCCGGAATTTATTGGGTTCGCCTTCGGCTCACCCAATAAATTCCTCCGCCTCGCCAGATAAACTTTCTCCATCCACGGCACCAACCTATTATTCTCTATTTATATGCCAAAAATACATATTACGGTCAACTTTTTTAAAGAACTGATATCCTGTTATGATTTTGTGCCTGAATTCAGTTCATTTTGAGCAAATGATTTTTCTTGCAATGAATCTGAAAATGATCAATGTTCATTTTAAGTTAGATCCATGCCTTAAGAGACTTTATACATGTGCAGACCAGCCAGGTCCTATACTAAAGGCACAGACATGCTTTTATGAGGTCTGGGCATCTAAAATGAGTTCCATATAGAATGACAATTTGTAAAGAATAATGGGTTACTCTAGTGTGATATTGTGAATAAGAAAAGAAGTAAATGCTGTAGAAATTACCAAATATAGTGCAAGAGAAATAACTGCAATTATAATGTAGGTAAAACAGTAAGAAAATGACTAAATGCTGCAGAAATGAAGAAATATCGTGCAAAGGGAAAACTGCAGATTTGAGTAATGCTCAAGAATTAAGAAATATGATTCAAGAGAAAAACTGTAAAACTGCAGGCCTACATTATATAAAGATAAAACATTGGCATTTAACTCTTTTGCAGGCATTACATTTAGATTAATTATTGACCTTTAACTCTTTCATCTCTGGCAATAATAATAAAAAGTCTTTCTACTGCTAAATATTAGCAATTTGATACTGAAAGTCCATAATTTCCAAGTTTTAAAGTACCACAAGAACAGATTCCTGAACTACTTTGGACTTTTCTAGTTCACTAGAGTTTTAAAATGTTAAAATATGCTTGAATTACATACCTCATCCGTTGAAAGACCCCTGTTATTGAAATTAGTGATACAGCGTTGAAAACACATTTCTGTCAGCTTATTATATAACTCCAGGAAATCTTTCATCTGGAAAATAAAATTGTATTATATATTGTACATTATTATAGATCTTCAAACCATTATTTTGATATTATAATTAGTGATTCCTCACCAGATGTGCCAGGCAAGACGTTGTGATGGACTTTTTCAATCATTATTAGTTATAGTAACAAGTGACATTACCCTAAATAGAAAGTACATACATATACAAAATTTCACGTAGGTGTTGTTTATCCTTAATTACAACATACACGATCTTTAACAGCACTGTACTGTATACTATGACTCAATGTATGATGAAAATCAAAATATCTTTTTTACTTTAAATTCCTCCTTTTATTTCACTATAAATCAGTCTTCTACAATTATTTGCTATTAAAAAGTAAAGTCAATTCAAACAAATTTAATAAAATGATTAAATTAAAATAATTATGAATTCTAAATATTTAAGCATGGTTCGAAACGTATGCAGCGCGAATCATATGGTTTTGTAGCAACATTTGATAAACATCGTTTATGATATACTGACATATTAACACATTGTCTTACATTTCTCACATTCTGTTCATCGGCACCTATTAACCCGCTCATTTTTATAGAGAGTTCTTAACAAATCCAACTTTCTAAATTATTTGACTTTGACAGCTTTTGCACGTGTTGATGTTTATAAATATGATAAATATTGAACATTTAAATATCGAAAGGATCTATATATACGGAAAGAACTTTGATGCTTAAGTACATCTTTCAATGTCTGTTGTACTTTTGATAGAGAGAAAAAATACATTTTTAACTAATAACTTTGAAAATATTACAAAGTACATGTATGACTTACTTACTTGTGTCAAACATGACTTGCCTCTCATTTACCGCCCCAAAGAACTGACCACAGCAGCCCTTTTGAAAACCATGTCTTCTTTTTACAGACCCGTAATCGGGAGAAGAGACACGTTACTATAAGCACATTTTTTTCCAAATGTTCTTCGTTAAGAATACATAATAATTATCAAAATGAAAAAACACAAGATAATGTCTTCAAGGAGTTAAAAATCGTCACCTTTACTTTTCTTTATAAGTAAATAATGGTAATAAAATCTAAAGTTAACTAGTTTAAGCTACGAAGGCTAATGTGCTTCTAGAAATACGTTCCATTGCTTGATTTCACGAATCATTGAATAGAAAATGTTAACTTAAAGAGTAGTGCTATAAAGATTATAATAAAATTGGGCACGAATTGGCCAGAGATCAAATTGACTTGGGATCGGATTGACCAATCAGGGCCGGATTGACTTGGGGCCGAGCAGACTTTGCAGACCTGGGGTCTGATTGACTTGCACCGTTAAGTAAAAAATAAAAATCATTGAACTATCCTAGAAAAGTCCATGACAAAATTTGGACACTTATCACACAGACATACCAAAATAGACATAAGTACAGGAAAAAATGTTGCTCTATCATATTTGTATTTGTCCTGGGACAAAAAAGTAATTATGTCATAATGTCTTTAATTGCTCATATATATAGTGTTGAAACATAAAACTGGGAAACATATTTTTACAGTATTGATATAGTGACTCAAATGTTGTTGTTTAACACTTTTGTCCTTTGTTATTGCGGTTGTAATGTCTAAATAATAAGAATAAATGGTGTACATAGAGCAATTAAATATTATTTTAGAATAAAACTTTATAACAACAATGTATTTTTGTCTTCTAAAATACTAATATTTCACTTAGAATAGACCTATTTATAATATTTTTTCTTTTAAACATTCGTTCTTTTGCAAGTGATAGAACATAAGTAACTTTTGCATCACTCCCTAATTATTAATAAAATGAAGATGTCATTTCCATGAACTGTCAAATGGATTCTTTAATAACAGAGATTTATTTTACCTAGATCTGTCTCCCTTTAAAATGTTCAATAGTTAAAATACTTGTTTCAATTTTGAGTGTTGGACAAAGTTTCACAGGAAACAGGAGGAACAGTGGAAGCTCGAACCCTCACATGTATGTAAATGAAATAAATATCACATTCAAACATGGTTTAGCAGTTCCAACTTTCTACAGAGACATATAATGGTCAGGTATATATATTGTACAGTCTGTCTTCAATAAGGCTAGCTTCAGTGAGAAAATAGATTTAAAAAAATTAATTATCTAGTAGGACTCATGCATGCCTGTTCAAATGAGACAAAGGTGCAAAAAGTAGGCATAATCACGGCATTAAAGCGATGTCATAAATAAACGATATTGAATGAGTGTAATTTAATACTAAATTTATTGAACGAGTTGAATAAAATCATATTATGCGAGGCTCTGGCGAGGATAATATTGTTTTATTCAACGAGTTCAATAAATTTAGTATTGAATCTACACGAATTAATATAATATTCTTTTTATTACATATATTAAATAAAAACAGTGAACTGTTAAATGAGTAATTTTTAAATGACGCGCCCATTATGATAGTGTAATGCTAACATTACGCTTTAAATAACGCTATGTTTCTATATAGCGCAAATGACGTCACGTCAAAGTGTTATATTACACTATAGTGTAATATCGTTTTATTAAATGGCTTTATTACACTCCTGCGCCGCGGTTTATGTGATAAATATAAAAATATGCCCACCTGTTAATAAAATATCGACTGATTGGTTAGTGAGGCATATAATGTATTAATAGTATTTATCACACACCCGTGCCGATTTTGCGACTCCGTAAATATGGTATTGCACGGCCGTGCATATATTTTGACGTGACGTCATTAATAAAAATTAGCGTTATACAAACATAGTGTAAAGACGCGCTAAATGATGGCATTATTCTATAGGCGCGTCAATGAAAAATGACTCTTATTTCACTTTAAACGGTCTTTATTTTGGGTGTGTGATAAATAGAATATTAAATTCGTGTAAGATCAGTACTGAATTTATTGCACTCGTTGAATAAAATAATATTATTCAACTCGTGCAATAAATTCAGTATTGAACTTACACTCATTCAATACCCTCTATTTTTTATTTTGTAAATGATTATCTTTTCGCATGATAATACAAATATCAGAAACAATTTTAATCCAAAGTGCTGCCGTGTGTAGATTCCATACTTTTCTCGGTACATTTAAAATTAAAAATTTTATTGAAAATAATCCGGAGTGTCTGTTATGCTATGCCTCAAAATTATTGATAAATTTTGGAAGTACTTTCAAAGATGTTATATATTTTCTGTCGTTGAAGATCGTTCAGCACGACATTATTGTTGTGTGTACATGTTTGTGGCGTTTTCAAGTTCTTCTTTTTGACATTTTTTTTTATCTTGGGTGGTTCCAATATTCAAACATGAATACCCTATAATAAACCTTAGTATATGTTTCCCGCTTTTTAAAGTTGTCTTTTGACGTCCTGTCTTTGATATACAGGATTCCTAACCTCCGATTGCCTTTAAAAACTCCATTTTATTTAGTTCCACCCATTGTTTTCTCGTTAAGGGCACACGCATTGTTTTTATTGGGGACCGCTTTTCATGGAATGGCACTAACGTGTCACATTGAAGGTTCTCTGATAACCGCCGTTGAACACATCTGCAGAGGGGCATCCACGGTAACTTGTATTTTTCGGTACCGTACATGAACAGACTCAATCAAACTGAGGCTGAAACATTTACAATTTTGTTGATTTGGGCGTCCTTTGTGGATTCTGTTTTTCTATATTTTATTCATTATTTCTTTGTATTGTATAATGGATATGCATTTGTGGTTCACGAAATACCAAAGTTTTTTTATGATTTTATGATGCAAAAACTACTGTACTGCAGTACAGTACAGTAGCACTTATTTAATAACTATTAATTCTAATTCTAAGTATTTGTTTAGATATGATATAGACTTATATGGATAGCAGACTGTTTGAATACACACGGATATTAAATTTACAGGTCTAAGCTTCAATATATGGGTTACCCTGAAACTCAGAAAATAGTAGCAATTTCGTTTATTTCCGCGACTATATTTATTTCGTTAAATAGCTTTTAGATGTGACTAATGTGTATCAGTCTGGTATGACGTCATCGCCAACCTGTCAATTTTTCTATTCCTGCATAAATTTCTTAAATTCTTTTAAATTTATATAGTGAATAGTCGTTTGACATTTTGGAGCATATAAACCAATAGAGTAAGTGAATGATAATAATTGCTTTTAAGTGTTATATGCCTTTCATAAGGTAGAATTCTAATGCAATAATGTTTTGTTGCTATATGCAGTACCCCACCCACCGGCTTCCCCATACATGTTGTTTTATCCTGTTTATACATGTTATTTTATAGTACATGCTTTATAGAATCCATTATTTGTGTAACATTATCAAATCTTGTTTTAAAATTGCCTATTAAATATACTATCATTTGCAACATTTTGTTTTTGCATGCAATGGCAGTGATGACATATCACCACTGACTGATTCCTAGTATGAATCTGGGATAATTATATGTACCTATTCTAGGGACTGCAGACAGCATAAGCAGCTTTATGTGTGACTGTTTATACTGATAGTAAAAGAGTTTGTGACCTACAGTGATGTTTTTTTGCACTGCAGTGATTCAGATTGGACCTTCTTTCCTTTGGACAGTTGTCCTAAATGATAAAAATCTTAAAAATGTTAGGTAATTTGTTGTAAATAATAGAAAAAACTTTAAAAATTTTTTATCACTAAATAAGTTTTAAGGTAAACTGGTATAAAAAATAAAATATTTAATTCTTACAGTCTTAAACTAGCGCAATTTTGATTTAAAAGATAAACAAAACTTTTAAAATGCATATTCAGTCTCTGTTTAAGAAAGAGAGAACTTATTGTCCTTCTCTCACGGATGTATATGTACGATATGTAAAAGATCGACATGCCTAATTAGAATGTATATGATATGAATCAAGTGATTACAGATCATTATGCATTAGTAGATCAAGGGCTATCAGGGCTCTCGATTGACACGGGGATCCGGGTTTTGACTCGTGAAAATCAGGAAATGCACAAATTTGACACGTGATAAAATCTGCTCAAGAGTCAATTTGCCACATGGGATTTTCAGCTATGCAATAATAATTACCTTTAATCCACCCCTAATTACCTATCAAATCCTGCTAATGTCCAAATCTCACTCATTAAAAATGTCAACAGGCAGTATAAGCGGTGTATAAAATGCTATACACACAGCAATTGTTTATACCCTGTGCACTGAAGCGCGACAATTCAGCGGCTGCAATTTGACAGTGCTAAAAATTGCTCTACACAACTGATAAGAACTACATACTTGAGGTGTCAATTATTGATTGCTTTTAAAGGTTTATAATACGTCTTTGATTAACTTGGAGTACCTGCGCATTTGTTATTTCTTTTTCCATTAAATATTCTCAGGTACATTTTGGTATTTAAAATTAATATGATATAGCATACAAGTAAAGATATTTTTTTTTATATTTTATACATTTAATCAGAAAAACTGCTGCTTATTTTATTCTTTCACAGAAATTCATTTTTTTGTTTTATTTTGTTTTTTTTTTAAGGTGGAGGAGGGGGGGGGGGCGTATATAGACATTTATATATAATTATGGATTTTTTCTGTCAATTTAGACTTTGGAATCTCCAAAAATGACCTCCAATACAGTCATTTTTGTAAT